GTAGTTTTCAAGTGTTTTCATCAGTATTTTCTACGTACTTTTATATATAACGTGCAAGTGTTCTGTGAAAGTGCTATTGTGTTTTAAGTGTTATTTTATCCACGTGTTTTAGAAAATAATTTTAATAAGTGTACATTGATCGTTATTGAGGTAAGCCGTTCTGAAAGCACTAGCATGATGTTAGGTTTCTCTGTGCCCATGCATAATCGTTCCATTTTTAAGTGCATGGGGATGTGTTAAGTGTTAAGTGTGCGCCTATGCATGCATGATAGTAGCAAGATAAGAACGACCCTCCATAATGGTTATGTAGTATGGCTCATTGTACAATGTAACAAAGTAAATGTGATGATTTAGTTATCTATTTTCTAATTTAGGTACCTATTATTTACAAATGTATAAGATATATATTTTGATGTATGTGAAAGCTATATATATTGTATGTATTATGTTGTGTATCATGATATCTGCTTATTAGGATAGTGTATCTTACTCCCTCATCATTTTCAGATCCTGCAGAGACCATTGAGGAGTAAGCGGTAATAACATATAAGTCTTTTGAAAGTTAGGCTTTATAAGAACTCAGGTCACTACTTTGTACTTTTTTTTTATAATGTAAGAAAGAAAAAAATTTTAGAGCCTCGTTTTGCATATATCTAATGTACATATATCAAGGGATGTAACGCTTTTGCACTTTTCTATTAATAAAAGCTTGTTATGTTTTATTTAACTAAGTGTAATGTGTAATGTGCTCCAGACACACCCTATAAGAGAGAGGTGGCCGTGGCACCAAGCTTTATTATTCGAGATGCTATGTACTCCTAAAAAATATATAGTTACTGTGCTCTCAAAGTATGCAAGGTCACACGGCCTATTTACAGATGAGTCTTATAGAATTCAAGAGAGAAGTGGTCTCATGTGTGAGTGGGAGATATTAAATTTAATAAAGTAGATCACTCATGATGGGCCTAACTCAATTAGGATAATCTATTTATTCAAATTCAAAATTAAAGTTGTGGTTAGTTACCATAACCAATGGAAGTTACCTTTTATTTTGAATACTCTGTAAAAAGAAAAAAATAGAAAAAAAGGGAATCACGTACAGAGAAAAAAGAAGAAAAAAACACACACACTCTCTCTCTCTCAACAAAAAGTTCTTTTTCTATAAAGAAGAAGAAGAGATTTTTGGTTGTTTTTCTTCAAAAATTTGGATTTCTACAATAGGTATTTATGCCATGAAAATTTACATACAGTTCATTATGAATTAATATAATTGTATGTAATATTATGCAAAATGATCTTGAAAAATTAGTTACATAATTGATTTATGGATTATATGTTAATTTCATAAGTTTTTAACATAAGTGATAGATGAAATTTACACCTTGATAGACAAGTAGTGTTTATAAAACAAGAGTAATAAATGAGGTTGACATTGATAGATAAGCTATAATATTCGACAGAATACGAGTGATTGGTGAGTTGAACATCTTGACCAACAAGTTTACTATAATATTTTGAAAAAAATAGTAGAAACTCAAGTAGTTGACTTGCGAGAGAGGACATAGGCACAGTGGTCTAGTGGAACCTCTACAAAAGGGTTTACACTCTCTTTCCTATCATGTTTACTTTATATTGTTATATATCATTATACGATATCATATTACTGCTCACATCATATATACGAACATGGAATTAATCACCATGTATTCTCAATTATACCACTTGTGCATATTATCTTTATCTTTTGAGAGTATTTAAACAACATAAATGAACTTCATAAAGTTTTACAAATTCTCATACAATTAAATTGTAATGACTATACATTTCAAGTAAAGTGTCTATCCCAGTCTTAGAGTCATAAAAAAAGAGTTAGGAAGTGTATTTA